TCTCTCTCTCTCTCTCTCTCTCTCTCTCTCTCTCTCTCTCTCTATATATATATATATATATATATATATATATGGAAAAGATATTGATTTTTGTGGAGGAATTTTGTTCCCAGCCATCTTTCTGAGCTGTCTTTAACCTTGATGATTGTCAGTTGGTTCTCCGGAGTTTTCCAGGAGGATTATCACACCTCCTGCCATTCTCTCCAAAACCAAATCTTTCAGTCTTCCAGCCTCACCATTCACTGGAACCATGCTTGTCATAACTGCCAATGGCTCAATATTACATATCCCACGGCTAATTCTTAGTCTTCATCTTACTGAGAGTCTCAAGTGGGACTGAGGCTATTGCTCACTCCCTTCTTTCCGGTCATGTTCTCAGTTCAGCCTCAAGATCCTGTGCTCCCCTGCTTCACCCACTCCTTCAGTAGCTGCTTCCTACTGCAGGGCTGGCTGGGCCCGCCTCTCCTCCCAGGGCTCTAGGGGGCGGGGGGGCTAATGCTCAGTCTCAAACTCTTCATCCTCAACACTCACTCTCAGGGTGACCTCACTCAGCTCCTCTGGAATGCAGGGGCACAGGCCTGTGTGTTGTTCATCACTACCCCGACCCTGCCTGAAACAGTGCCTGGCACAGCATAGGCACATAACAGAGTAGGGTAAATGCAGAAATGAGTGAATAAGTTTTTCTGATTGCTTTAAATGCTTCATACTTAAGTTTCTTTTGTTTGTTTTTTCTAAGTCCTCATTTGAAGATATTTTTCCATTGCTTTTCAGAGATAGTGGAACAGAGAGAGAGAAAGAAAGATGGATGTGGGAGAGACACATCGATTGGCTGCCTTCCAGGGTAGCCCTGACCAGGGCCGCAGGTTAAGCCTGCAACCAAGGTACATTCCCTTGACTGGAATCAGACCTGGGAACCTTCAGTCCGTAGGCCGATGTTCTAGCCACTGAGCCAAATGTGCCAGGGCCATACTTAAGTTGTTAAGGAAATGCCACCTAACCCTTTGGCTGCAGCATGGGCACATGAAAGGAAGTCATAAGAGCTGAGGCTGAAAATACTGGTAGTCCCAGATCATCTGAAAATAATCTAGCTAACAAATGTCATGAGTAGAGAGAGAGAGGTGACAGGTAGTGCCTGTGGTGTGCCAAATTTCTTGTCTTTTATAAGGCAACACAATGTACACACTTGTTGATATTGATAAATCAAAACTAGAAATGTAGTTTCATTATTCAAAGCTATAAAATAACTTGTAAAAGAGTTTAAAATGGGAACTGTAAACATCAGTTGCTAATGGGGATTGATTTTAGGAGACACTTTACATTTCATTTTATACACTCTGGTGTCCTCTGAAATAAACTAATGTGCATGCATTATCTCTGGGAGTAAATGGAAACAGATCAGATGAGCCAGGCCATGCAGGGCCCTGAATGCCAAGCAAACCCTCCTTTAGCTATGGAAGCCCACATTGCCTGGTGGGTGGGCTTCCTGAACAGGCTCACAGTGGGCAGCCACTGGCTCCACTTCAGCCACTACTCACACGGAGGGGGTGGGAGCGACCACATGGGATAAGATGGAGAGAGGAAGAGAGAAGTCCTTGGAGTCAGGGCAAATGAGAAACATCTCGTGAGGTCCTTGTCTCACATCTCCAGAATCTCATTTGACAGTGCCCCTTGTGCAGGAAATCACAGGGGCTGCCCAGCATCTTGATAAGCCTCTCTTGGTCATCAGATTCCACCCCTGCTCCTGCAGACACCTCCGATCCAGGGGTAGAAAGGCACTCTCTGGTATTCGGAACTCCCTGGAAAGCTCTTCTGTCTCCACTCACCACCTTCAACTACAAGATGGTGCTCAGGTAAGAGTTGGCTCAGAGCTACATTCTTTCAAAGGCAGTTTTGTTTTTTGTTTTGTCCCTCGTAGTCCACATGCTCATGACTGCATTTTGGGGTGGGGCATGCAAGGAGCCATGAGCACCCATCAAGGAGAGTCCAGACCCATGAAGGTCCCTCAGGGAAGCTTTGGGTGCTGGTAGCTGAGGCTGTGGGAGATCCACACTGGGCCAACCCGGTCCTTTCTGCTTCACAAACATTGTTTCCAAACCTGAATTGCTGTTAATAACCTCACGTTTCACAGATTAGCTTGCT